GGGTTTAGGGTTTAGTTTTTTGGGTTAAGGGTAGTTTCCACCTCCATTTTAAAAGGCTTCTAGGTACTACCTGCCGGTCAGCACACCAAAATATCGCTTTGTGAACTTTTTTCGGCATGAACATTAGGGCGCATTTTCCCACGCTTGTGCCTGTGCTGTTTCATCTTGTAACGTACTCTGCAACGTTATTGTCATAGTGTGTGCGGGGAGAGTGCTTCGCTCTCGTTTTGGCTGGGACGAATACTTGAAGTCAAATGTCGACTTGCTACAGTTTTCGGGTGGCTGCGAATACCTAAACTCAAGCGTCGACGGGGATACATCGGGAAAGCCACGACTCAAACCCCCAGACCCCACTCCCGAAGGCACGGCATGGATCCCGACGTCGCTATCTCTGCTTTCTCTTCGCGGCCTCCGACTGCGGCCAGTACCACAGCGTCTTGACAAATGTGCCCACCTTGAGGCCGGAATGGCCCCTAAAAGTATGGGCCTTACATCACTTGTATCCTATACTTACATCTCGCCCCAAGGTCTAGGTAATATTAGGGAGACCCCTTTGAAGGTCTTGAGCCTACTTATGGCTCTCTTAAACGGGACCTTATTGAGAGGGTTTATATGCCCAAGGGTGCCCCTAATCCTAACTCCTACAAAGGGTGGGTATTCCAGAAGAAGAACGACGATCAATTCGTGAAGCATAAACCCATGCCCCCAAGCCCGTAACTCCTAAACCTAGGCCCCAAAAACCCCAAGCATTCCCAAGCCTTACGCCTTCATGCGCAGCCCTAAACCCACAACCTGTGCCTCCTATTACCCCAAGGGTTGTTAAAACAACTGAGGCGACACGATGACCCTTAACCCAACCTGTAGCCGGAAAGACCTACCTTTCTAGAGTTCCTTATTACAGTTTTTGTACAGCCCTAAAGCCGAAAAACCCTAAAACCCTAAAAGCCCCACAACCCTAAAAGCCCCAAAACCCTAAAACCCTAAAAACCCTAAAGCCCAACAGCCCTAAAACCCTAAAACCCCAAAAGCCCTAAAGCCCTAAAACCCTAAACCCTAAAATCCTAAAACCCCTAAATCCCTACGGCCCTAAAGCCCTAAAACCCTAAAGCCCTAAAAGCCCTAAATCCCTACAGCCCTACAGCCCTAAAACCCTAAAAACCCTAAAAGCCCTAAAACCCTAAAACCCCAAAAGCCCTAAAACCCTAAAGCCTTAAACGCCCAAAAGCCCTAAAACCCTGAAGCCCTAAAGCCCTAAAAACCCTAAAGCCCTAAGGCCCTAAACCCTAAAACCCTAAAAGCCCTAAAACCTTAAAGCCCTAAAGCCCTAAAGCCCTAAGACCCTAAAGCACCAAAGCCCCAAAACCCTAAAACCCAAAAAAACCCTAAACCCTCAAACCCTAAAACCCCTAAATCCCTACAGCCCTAAAGCCTTAAAACCCTAAAAACCCTAAAACCCTAAAACCCTAAAAGCCCTAAAGCTCGAAAGCTCCTAAAGCCCTAAAGCCCTAAAGCCCTGCTGAATGCCAAGGCCCCCATTAGGGGCCCATAGTTGAAAACCGTACACCCTAAACCCCAAACCCCAAA